TTCAAAAATCATTTAAACTAGAAACAAACACATAGAGCTCATTTTATGAAGTGAACAGATTGAAATATAAAGCTAAAATGAGTCAAAATCAGTATTGGAACACTACACGGTACATATCAAGCAGATACTTTTTAAAGTTAACTATTAAATACTACTCATGTGTTTCCCCTGCTATTTGATTGTGGATCCAGACTATCGTTACCTGACCTGACAAGCCTGTTAGGCTTCGGTCAGGTTGGATGGGCTTTCTACTTTCTACTTGATTTTTTTACACTTTACATGTCTATAATTGGGGAAAACTTCGGGCTAGTGTTGGGTTCGGACACAAAATACACGACTCCTGCCGGGTTCAGTTCGGGCTTGGTTAGTTTTCTCTCTGGCTCAGTCAGGTTCGGATAGAAAATCTCAGCCAGAGCCGCTCCAGATAGTGACAGTGAGGCTTTGTCGGTTTTAGTTTCACTGGGCCGTAGCACATTGGAAAAAAAGCACTGTGTGGAAAAAACATTTTTTCATGACCTTTTTATTATGTAATTCTGCTGAAGTGTGGGCACATAAAGGTCATTTTTGACTTGAGGTCCTCTAAACTACGTGGAATATGCTGGTATAAAAGGGGTTTTTTCAGCATATTGCAGCTGTTATATAATAAACTCTTGTATGGGCTGTATACAATGTATTGTTTTCAGTTTCCACATAGTTATAGCCACTTTCACATCTCATGCTAAAGGGAACAGTATGTTTGTGTAGCAGACATATTCTCTCTGTGATGAAGTGGAAATAAATCACATATATTTTGTTTATTTGTATAAAATTTGATGTTCTTTTATATTTTAACTACTAGAACGAAATTGTGAAGGTGTATTAAATGCTGTATGTGGTTATTTTAAGATTTGATTAATTTCACATTATTATTTTTTCCCTGGAAGCAGTGAGTGTTTACATTTAGATATTTCAGGAAGAGCAGGGGAGCTCCCCAAGCATCCTGTCAACAAGAGGAAGCAGCCTGAGGAGTCAGACTTTCGAGTAAGATGATAATGTCACATCTGAACAGGGAAAGGGCACAGAGGAGAAGGCTGACTGGCGCATGAAACAGAGCAGAGATACTGACAGAAAATGTGTAACTACATTTTGGATTTGGCCTTGTTTATTTAAGATGTTACTTCCCAAAGAGGTCTAAGGGATGAGGGACAAACAATTAAAAAATAAACCGGGGGAAAACCTAGTGACCAGCATGATGTGTTCATGGAAAGTCAAGTATTTTATTATCAGAACTGAAGAGGGAATAAGCCAACAAAGAACAATCAACTGAAAACAATCCTCAACAAACTGAAAATGAACCAGGACCACAAAAAGAGCACGAACAAAAGTTAATCAGAGTTCAAATATGCACAAACACACCAACAAACTAAGGCACACTACTGCACTGTTCACTCACAGCTTGTTTGAGCAAAACGCATGTTCAACTGGCAACTTCTGCAGCTCTGCTCAGGGTCTTGTGCCTCTCCCTGATTCCAGAGTGGCTTCAGCTGGGCCAGTGGAGGTGCTGGCAAGAGCACACACCTGGAGATGAGAGAGAGAGAGAGATGTCAAACATTACAATAAAATATTTGAAGTATTAAACGTTAAAAATATTTGTGTACCTGTTAAAGAACTGTTACTGTGTTTTATCATTGTTTTGGGAACAAGCAGCTGTTTCATGTTTAAGGGGGAAGTTTAAAGCTCCATTCATAATCAAGGCCACAGTATGTGGAGCAGATGAGAGATGTGGCTGTCCTCCAACAACACAGCACACACAGTACCAACATGTACGTCAGCCACTGTGGCTTTATTCCGCTCAGGCCCATGAAGTGGCTGTTTGTCTCTTCCCTGTCAAACTCAGCGCAGCTCCACCTCCCACAATCCTGCCAGCTCTGCTTTACATCCAGGCGGACCCCTGGATGCGCAGACATCCATTGAGATAGGACTGCATTTTTTTTTTTTCATTCATCGCCAGGCGCACTACAAATCTATTTTTAATGCATTCAACATGAGCCAACCCGGGTTCAAACTGGTTTTGTGAAGCTGTGATTAGCCACCTAGCGACACGGCACAGTTTTCTCATGATGTTAACATAACAGGTGACCTCTCAGACTGTAATTCTAAACTCATAGGGTGTTTTTCAAAATTTTCATTGATTTCTCAGAGAATAATTTATGGATCTTGATAAAAAGAAAATCAGATGCGATTAGTGGACTGATGTTATTCATTGTGTGCAATTTGGTGCAGATTGAAATACAAATCTGGACCTAGTGAATTTAAAAGTGTTTTCAGTTATGTGCTCCCTGAGTGCCCTTCCATTTCAAACCACATGGGGCCTTGCATTAAGCACATTTTGTAAGATAGTTTTCAAGCTGATAATTTCATTAGATGTTGCTCAGAGAAAAACAATAACCCTCAGCATCACAGAGATTATTGCTTCGTTGGGGCATTTATGTTTTTTCTGGAAATTCCGTGACAAAGAGATACTGTAGTTGTTGCTGGTGGGAAACAATTTAATTGTTTCCAGCTGCCAGTTTGGCATCCTCATGCTTATGTTTTCTCCCCCCCCCCCCCCGTTGTGCTGAAGAGTTCATATCACTCTACATGTGTCCTGGCACTGGCGTTGATTGACTTCAGGTTCCCGCCAGAGCTGTTTGATAGATATGAGAGCGAGCGGAAGGGAGGTGACAGAGTAAGAATAGCCTGCATGCTCACTTTGCATTGTGTGAAATAGGCAACTATACACGCAAAGCACTCCGAAAAATCTCTGGCATAAGACCACTTAAAACAAAGTCCATTTTACAATGCAACAATGACTTTGCATTGCACGATCATTCAAAATAAGAAAGTCTTTTGTGCACTGTACATTTCCGACCCTGGTTGTGTTTTGCCCATTGGAAGTTTGAGGTTGTACTGATAAATCACTGCAGAGAGACTAAAGCAGCTAACATGACTAGCATCTCACAAACAAAACGTGCTTTGTCTGGAAACTGGGACAAAGGACCGAGACACCCAGTGAGACTTTTAGGAGAAGTATGCCTCAAGTGTGTCTCCATAACCCCAAATCCCCATGTGTGGTGGGAGCTGCGAGGGCCAGTCAGAAAGTTCCCCTTGGCCGCTGGAGCAAAGATAATTGGACCCAGGTTTAGCTGGAGTTTTGGTATTTGCATCTCGAGCCAAGTTTTGATCGTCACAACTTCTCTAGCCAGGCAGCGCTTGTGGGAGCAGGTCCGTCCTGGACACGTGAAATATTTTAACGTATTTTCTGCATTTTCATGTGATGTGATGACTTTTTACCCATGTGTGGAATACGATGTTTGTGGTATCATGTGGCATCATGTAAACAGCAGTGTTTGTGTTTGCAGGGGTTGAATTGTCTGGGTGTCAGGACTTTGTATTCTGTTTCAGGGGGTCAAAGGTTGATCCTGTAGGGATTGTCAGGATGCAGAGTTGCTGTCGGGTCATCCATCCTAATCTCTGATCTCACGAGGGGGTTATGGGGAGACAGTGGAGCCTGAGGCACAAGAAAGAGACGTGTTATACATGTTTGTGTAATTTTCTCGATGAATGTATTTATTCAGACTCTCTGATCCCATTTCTCTTGTCATGAGGTCTGGACGTGTCAAATGCATTCCAGCTACTGACTTTAGAAAAACACTTTAATTGTGCCATCCCACACTGTCGTACTGAATGAACCGTTTGTACACACATTCTTGGTTACACCACTTGATGATCCTCGACTTCTCGCCCAAGCACCACTGGGTTGACATTTCTAGTTTGTAGTGAGATATCTTAAGAGTTACCTGCTGGATTACCATGAAATTTGAGATTAACCTCTCATTTACGATACATTTTGTGACTTTGGTGATGTTTCTTGATCACAAGCTGAAATGTTCTGTTCGATCAGTACTTTTGTTTATGACCAAATAACTGCACCTTTACTTAAACTCATCTATGGTAAACAGTGTGTCTGCCAAACATCAGCATTTTGGCGTTGTCATTATATTAGCAGGTTGATATTAGCATAATAGCACATATACCAATACAGCCTCACAGGGCCTCTAGTGTTGTTCCATACTTACATGTAAAACTATAACTAACAATTGTTCATCTTATTTATTCCTAGTATGTATTTATTTACTCCTAACAAATGACGGGGTAAAATCCACATTAATATACAAAATAGAAATGCAGCAAATATTTACAGTCAAGATGACTTAAACAGCAAATATTTGGTATTTGACTCATTGGGTGTCAATCGACAAACTGTTAATTAGGTCTCTGCCAAATATGAAAAATATAATCTTTCAGGAATCCATGCATGTATCAAGATGGTTGGGTTGCTATTATAATAATAGAGGCCAGTAGTTTTGAGATTGAACAGTTTCACCTCTAAGTGAAAAAACAATGTAAGACACATGGTACAATCAGGCAACTCTTTAACACAGAAGACTCAATGTCTTCAATGAGAGGAAATGCCCCCACGAAGGTTCACCACTTGAAATAGACTCTGGCAAGGTGTTTGGAAAAATTCCTACGTTGTTATTTCACTGCCTGGAGCAACACATACTAAGATGCAGGTTTTATAAGATAAATACTTGAGCTTTCTCTCAAATTATCATCGGCTCCAAATTACACAAACACTGACATGGATTTCTTTCTCTCTAGTATAGAACTAAGTAGGTCTCATAGATAAAAACTTGAAAAAAAGAAGAAAAGTCCCTCCATCATATATGAGGAAGCCCCCTCTTGACCTTATGACAGCTTGCTGGGGACTTCTGCAGCGTTCCAGGGGCCGCTAAAAGTTTTTCAGATGTTTTAGAACACAGTGATGAAAAATGCAGTCGCTCTGTTCAAGAGTGTCCAGTGCTCTTTTTATGGACCCAAACATTTGCTTCCCCTCACATCAAGTTGTACTTCATCTGTCAACCTTGCCGTGATAATGTTTGTGTGTGCGCTGGTGGAAGTAACACGTCTATCGGCAGGTCTCAGGAGAGACGTACACCATGTGGGATGACTTCCTGGTTGAGGGCAGAGGCGGCAATCAGCAGGAAATGACCTTGGGTGATCTGTTCCAGTATATCAAGGTACGACCTCCTCATTCCTCTCACACAGGAAACACACACTTTCCTCACACCCTGTGTTACTGAGTACATATTTTATTCAATGCTTTTCTTTCTTAAACTTGTTCACCTTCTTCCAGTGCACACAATGCCTATTGTTTGAAATGGCTGACCACTTCGCACCAATCACACCTACTATTTACACCTGAAGGACTGTTCTACCAACAACAAGTGGAGTTTCCAAGATTTCAAACTTTTCCCTTAAGGCTCCTACTTATCTTCTTAGACTACATCCATACTACTAAGGTTTTATTTCAAAATAAAACAACCTCTGACCACATGAGCGTTTTGGCTCCATATCAGTTTTTCCTCCTTCTACTAACATGCCTTAAAATGCATATCATGTGCCTCATGTATGCTAAGTATGAACATGCGTGTAAACAGAAGAAAGAGTTGCAGAAAGAGCAAAGCTACAAACATAAGCTGCAACAGTGAAAAGTAGAATCCAGAATTTATCTGCACAACAGCTGTGAGTAAAGACCACAGGGTCAGCAATGATTTGATAATCCATGTTGTGTTGTGACAAATTAGCAAAGACTCCGTCGACCCAAATCAGCACGCTTCAGAAGAGTCTCTATGTCATCGTTTCTAAACATCTCTGTTTGTGACCGTCCAGACTAAAACACAGTTCTGAAGTTTTCCAAATTAAAACAGTGCCAGCAGCATTTCCAAATGAAAATATAGTAGTATGGATGTAGCCTAAAAACCTAGATTTGAAATTGATTAAATTGGTACTAGATGAGTAGATAAGCATGTTAGTACTACAATTTGAAAATCTAAAGCTAATTTCATGTTTCCATCTTCCTGGCATAATTTCTAAATAATTTGAGTGATCTCAGCTGTGGAGGATAAATCCATACTTGCTTTTCAGTTTCTTTAACTTTATTTTTTCTTAACTTATCACTTGTTATAGAAAAAAACAAAACAAAAGCACATAAATGTGCACCTTGTATGCTCTGCAGATCAGTTCTCTATAATATGATATAGATTATACCTGCAGCAGGAATGTCTGAGAACATGACTCCTGATCTGTTTTTTTTTATGCACACACCTTTTCTTGCCCTAACAAATGTGGTCTATAGATTCTGCTGAAGTTTGTTCCAAGGAGGCAAAGGGAAAATAAATTGGCAAGTGTTCCTATTTGCTCTGGGTTTCGTTTAACCTTCGACTGTCCGGGTTCCCCGTGGATTGTTTGCAGAGACACAGCAGAGTTTCCTGAAGTGGTTCTAGGTCACAAGTCATAAGCAGGCCTTATGCTATCATTGTAGAAATCACTTCAGCATAATGCATGCATGCAATACTTGTAATGCCCTGCTATGTTTATGTTGCACTGCAAATTTACAGAATAATTTGTCTTTGTGCAGGACAAACACAACTTGACCATCTGCCGCCTCTTCTACGGAAATGCTATCTTATACAGGGGGCAAGAGGAGAGGCTCCAGCTGAGGTATGTCCACTCAAGATAAAGATACAGAACAATGTTGCATGTACAGTCTGTCGCTATACATTGCCACACAACTATTTACACACAACCAACAACCAGCAGCATCCCATTGTTTGTTTAGAGGCTAATGGCAGGATGAGGTGTTTCCTGAGAGCCTGTGAGGAGAGAGGCTGTTGACACACTCACGCTTCACCCAACACTGATGATTGAGTCTGCTCCCCCTCAGGTTTCCCTCTGTTTGTTGAGGAAAAGAGCTGAAGAGTTAAATTAGGTGTCAAGCTTTTTTTGTTCCTGCATCTGAGAAGCTCTGCAGTGTTTGAGCGAGTTTCGATTTGTGATCTTGGAACGTGCGCCCTCAGGGAAGTTTTTATTCTAGGAGGAGAGAGATAAGTGAAATAAATCAAATTTAAACTGGAGAGTTCAGAGATAATAAATTACTGGGTTATTTGAAATGTTAGATTTTTAGTTAAACCTTGCTGGAAGGTCTTCTTGTCGGTCTTGAAACAGACTGTGCATGTTCTTTGCTCTCCCTGATGGTGGGGTCTCTGGGGAGCTGGAGCTGCAGTTAGATGGGGGGCAGGCGGAGAGAGGGACAGAGTGCTGTGGACAGCAGCTCGTACATGACAAATGCCCTCTCCAGTACACACTTCCTGTGCAGTCGCCCTGCCCAGTGTTTCCTTTGTTTGGCCACTGCAGGGTGAATGTAGAACTTAAAGATCACATTGAATAAATCATTGCTGAGTAAAAACACTCTTATTCTCTGCTATTACTGTTGTTCGCAATTCTGATGATGGTTTATGTGGAACATGTTCATCATGATAAAGGACTGTGTCATCAAAGGCGTGGCTCATTAATGTGTTTTCATTTGATTTACTTCTTTCGTAGTGTGTCTGACGTGGTGAGAAAGGTGACTAAAGCAGACGTCCCTCCACACGTGAAGATGCTGGAGTTTTTGGCCTCATTTGCTGAGGATGAGGACTGTGAAAAAGTCCCTCCCATCAGGTACCTGCTCCTGTGACGCCGCTGACAACGAGGATCCACTATGTTCCAGTAGAAAAGCTCTTGTGACACTATATCACTTAAAAATCATGTCATCATAGCTTTTGTCTTTCTCTTTATTTTAGGCAATACATCCCATAGGCTAATCAGTTGATCTATCTTTTTATTCAAGTTCCAAAAACACTATGAAATAAAAGGGTTCTGCCCTGTTCCTTATTTCAGGCTTTTCTGTCACTTTATTTGCTCAAAGAGGAACCACTACCATCTCTCAAGTCCAGAAAGTCTTGTTTACTAAGGTTTGGTTTTCATTTATATGTGTCTTTGGAGAAGTCACGCTAAGAGCTTGTGAAGATGCCAAGGCATATGGATTAGATAATCAGATGATCTGGCACCAGTGGAGCAGTGCTGGACCGGTTTGAGGTCTAATTCAGGTCAGGCAGAGCGTGACTTTAGAGGGCTGCGGCTGGACAGGGCTGCTGGCACAGTAGGTACAGTGCTTCTATGGTTTTTGGCTTTTGCCATCTGAACACAGCTGCCTTGTGTAAATCCTTCTGCAAACACACGTGTACACATCCCTGCAAACTTCCTATTTTTTTTATTATTCAGTTTTCAATGTTTTAATGTTGATTTTAAGACACAAATTTCAATGGCAGGCAGGTGCATAGCACATCAGGTCCTATTAGGGTTTTAAAAGAAGCTTTAAACAATGTTATCAACAGGGAAGAAAGTGTCAGCTGTCTGATAATTAGATAACATAATTAGATTTTAACAGCATCAGGCAGGAACAGAACTCGCTTTCATTAAATACACACAAAAACATTTTATTCCACATCTATCAACATTACGGACAAAACACAAGTTAAGAAAATAGAACCACCTTAGTTTAATTTCTGTGTAAATTTTAGTCCGTAGACACAGTTGCTCAAATGTATCCAATGATGTCATTGCATATGATGGGTTGTCGGCTGCCCGTCTTCATGAGGGCGGTGAACTGGTAGAAGTCAGAGTCCAGTTGATGCAGTCCTGTATGAGACTGGTGAAAGAAAGGTTTGAGAGCCTGGAGTCCCACAGGGCAGGACATCCGTTTGGGAGCCTCTGCAGCTCGGCTCACCCTGGTGGAGTCTGCAGGCCGTGGCTTTACCTCCACACCTTTAGACATCCCTGCTAGTCTCTTGCGCATGTTGTCTAAAATGTCTTTAGCAAGGCGCCGACTGGCACAGGGTTTCACTTGCGTTGGCTCGGGACACTCTGGAAGGTCCATCCAGTTCTGTATGAGGTCAGCAAAGCTGTTGTCACCAAGAACGAGGGGCTGCCTGTTTCTGCTGCGGCTCAGCAGCGACGTCGTCCAGTCCTTCTGGTCACTGGCCTCAAACGAGGTCCAGCGCTCCAAGCAAGCATCCGAGGTGGATTTCGGACGGATGCGGCAAGAGGGTCCTCTGTTTGTGCGGAGGCAGGCCGAAGAGGAGACTCTAACATTTCTGGTCCTCCTCAACACCACTCCTTCATCCTGCCAAGAAGCCTCAGAGTAACCAGAGTCAAAGTCTATGCTCTTCTCACTGCTGGGAGAGCCTTGTGCCAGTCGTTCATGCTCCAGCTGCTCATCCTCCTCTTCCAGTGGACTGGCCAGGCAGCAGGCAGAGTCATACGTGCTGGCTTCACTGGCATCAGAGACGCGTAGTTTTGTGAGTCGCTCCTGCCGGGTCCTCTGCTTGCAGAGGCGCGTTGCAGCTAAGGACCGGACACACGGTTCACTCAGGGGCCTTGGCCTGTTTATCTGCTTCAGGTCCTGCAGGGATCTCATCATGTACTGCACCTGGTCCCGGAGGCAGTCAGTGGAATCTCCTAAACACAGCTTCACAACGACACAGACGCAAAGACTTAGTGGTGCAGACAGAGTTAAAGTAAAAGTCTGTATTTAAAATAACATCTGTGAAGTAAGAGAAGTTTTACAGAGCAGTTAGTCTATCGAAACAGTTCCTTGTTTAATTTCCAGAACTGGGCCAATAAGATTTTTAACAGTTGAGATCACTCTGCTCTATGACCATATAACAAGTGAGGCATTCCATGCAAACCTCAGAGCAGCTTTATGGAGACCATCCCATGCAAGTATGATCCCGGAGAAAGAAAAAGTCTTTGCTCAGAGAACAGGATGCACATTTGATTCTGGGCGCAAAACACTGCCTGCCTCCTTAAGCTCGAGGGGAAGTTTGAACAAAGTAAGAGCTGAATCATGGAGGAGTGCAGAGGCTCACTTATCCTCTCCACACTCCCCTAACTCACAGGATGTTGACTGGTCTGTATTATAAAGCAGGAAATGACAGCAGCATTGTGGAATTACACCACGGCCATTTCCTATTTATGAATCATATAACTTTCCAACTTTTCGATTAACAGAAATCAGTGCACGTATCTCTAGAAAGTTTATTTTATGAGTTATTACAGTAAATGTTAGGTTTGTTGAGCCTCCCCGCCCGGCCAGAGCTTAGTGCTTGGAGGGGTAAAGGACACCACAATGCCATGATGTTATCACAGCTGTGGGTGCTGGACCATTTGGCCCCTGAGGGAGACTTATCTGACACACAGAGACATCCACAGTGGGACGCTGCTTCTTTTAAAATGTCCTGTTCTCGTTGGCTGCTTCTCACAGTGGGGAGCAGAGAATCACTCAGTTGTACACAAGGGCAGTTTGGTTTACATTAACTGTGACATGGGGGGGTACAATCACAATATTATTGCAATTGCCCTCCAAGGACAAATAAAGTTGTTTTGAATTATCCTTTTAAACATCTTAACACTCGCTAAAGAAAATACTCTAAAAAATATTATACTAAGTGATGCAAAAAGATACATACATAGATATATAGAAAAAAAATGCAGAATACTGTGCACTGATCTTTGCATTCACATAAATAATCTACTGCAATGCATCAACAAAACTGTTCAAATATATAAGAACATACCATTCCCTGTGAGGTAGTGTCTGCAGTGAAGTTCAGGGTCCTCTCACTTTCACGGCTGCTTCTCCTCCTGAGTTTAACAGTACTTTTGCCTTTGTTTAAAAATGGAGTCCCGTCACTTTGAGTAGCTCCACAGTTTCCAGATGTTCGGAGGTGAAGTTTCTCTCCTCGTGTGTTTTCTCCACTGAACCAGATGAGGGTCTGTCAGGACTTTGAGGGTGATGAGCTTTTCTCAGCATCGAATCAGCGACGTCACAGAATCAGCCAATGACAAAGGGCCTGGAACAAGATACCGCCCCCCGGGTAATTGCAGCGGTTATTGTTTGCTTTGAGACTCCACATCTGGAGCTGCATCATTCTCTAACTTTTTATTCTCACAGTAAATAAACGATCACTGCGCATTTTAAAACAGTTTTATCATCCATACCCAGTATCAAATGAAAGACCTAACTAACTCAGAATGATAACTGTATTCAATAGAGTTTAACTATTTTACTTTAATTAGCAATTCTCTATTTAAATTCTTATGGGCTGTGCAGGTTGAGTATAAACTGCCACTTCATTAAAAGTGGTCCTAAACAAACGCTGTGAATCTGCAGCTCTGCAGACATACAGTATGTAGATCCACTGAAATCTACATATCGCCACCTTGTGGATGTTTGTGAACAGGACCTCCCTTATTACCATTGTCCACTGGCCCTGAATAGTCCTCTTCACACCTTTGACTTCAGTTTGGGAGATGCATACGGTCCATTCACTGCTGTCTTAGTGGCTGCTTTGAGATGCAAACATGTTGCTGGGGGCTGAAGTGAAGAGCTCATTTCATTTGGAGATGAGCAGAACATTCACCTCCTCACCTCACCCTGTTTTTGATGTGGATAACACTTTGTATTGTAATTCAGCCGAGTACAGAAAAGCACAGGAGCTTAAGTCAAAGTACCAAAACAAAGAGACAGAAAAAACTCCAATCCTAGATGGATAGAAGGATGGAGAGATGTGATGGAGAGATATATAAACCTCAGAATGCAGACTGGGATATTCAGGAATCAAACCACCGACCGTCTGGTAAGTGAATCACAACAACAACCTGAACAACAGCCAGCCTCTTGATGGATGGCTGGATTGTTAGATAGATAGATATGAATATGTAGTGATTTACTCAGTTGTGCACATTTGAATTAAATGTGACTTGGGGGAACACTTTATAAACACAGATGAAAACATAACCTCCTTTGAAGAGATAATAATTTATACTTCTTTGGACTTTAGTTGGAGCAGCTCACACAGACATCAGAGACTCCTACTGATCTTATAGAACCAATGTGGGTTTTTCTATGAGAGCTGTCGTCCACACTCATTCATTCATAAGCAACACATTTCTATTTTATACCTCTCTTTCTATAGTTGATCTATTAGGTTCCAACATTGACAAAAACAGATTATATGCTGTTGATCTATTTTCTTTTGACACAACACACTGCAGAATAAAAAATCATGTGACCAAACTTTATTTACATTTAACAATATTGATGAACAGCTATCAATCATTTGTGATGTGGTACGTTTTAAAGGTCCAGTGTGTAAGATTTAGGTGAAAGGGAACTATTGGCAGAAATTTAATGTAGAATAATCCTCATGATGTTTTCACTAAGGTGTTTCTTCTAGATTGTATGAATTGTAGTTTTCTTTAAAACTACAATTCATCATTTTCAGAAAAGCCCCTTTATGTTTAAATACTTTATATTTACATCGAGGGGGTCCTCACTATGGAGGCCGCCATGTTTTTTACATTACTCCTGACTGGACAAACTAAACACCTTTTGAGTTTTTATGTGAACTGAACGCTACCCACAGGTTCTTTTTTCTCATGTGTGGAAGGGGAGGGTGAGATGAGGGGTATTCAGCTGCAACATGCAATTTCAACACTAGATATCACACAATTCTACACACTGTACCTTTAAATAATGGCTTGTGTGATTTGAAGTGGAGTAGAAATAGCCCTAATTGTCACTATGAAGATAGCATGTCTCTAAAGAACAAGTGTAAACAGATATCAAGGCACAAACATATGGTAAAGACTTGGAATGAAACAAAGAGTACAGAACAATCAATGTTTGAACCGACAGAAGCATTTAAAAATCTTGCAGAAATCTTAAAAGTGGCACATAACCTTTTCTGTTTTGTTTCTTTAAAGAAGTTACTCAGGAATGTTATTCAGTTTGTGGGGGGTACAGGCTAATCTATGGACAGTCATGCAGAACAATGCACTAGAGTATACTGTATGTGAGAACATTGATTCTGTGTAAACATTGTACAAAAAAAACATTTTCCCTTTGTCCATTTTTCATTCTCCATGCTTGTTAGTTTTTTTTTCTAAAAATAAGCTCTGTGCAGTCAAAAGGTTCATATAATGCCAACGTTAGTTAACGTAAGTTAATGCGATTTTTATAAAATGTTTTTTTTACTCTATCCTCTTACTGAACTTCAAAAGCAAAAGAAAAAACTAAAATAAAAATTAAAACTTTCAACCTAAATAGAAATCTGAATTAAAAAAATGAGAATAGTGGCTCTCAAAGTGGCCCTTAAAGGCTCAGGAAGAAAAATACTTAAATTTGACTGTATTTGCCAAGATTAGATAATGTTGTTATTACTATTATTATAAATGTTTTATTTTCCACTTAAACAAATCAGCTCATATAATTTATTATAAATCAAATATTTGGGGTGAGTGCCTGGACTGTTATTTTATATATATATATATATAAAATGTATTATGAGCCAATAAATAATATAAAACAATACACAATGTGATGGTTGCAGGTCAATGATTGTTGAAGTTCTTTCACGTGTCCCCTCTAGGAATCAAGTCTGTTTGGGTTTTCATTATGAAAAGCAGTAATTATCTCATGGCTGTTGCAGTCTCATGCAGTCAGGCATCGTCCTGCATAAAGAGAAAGAAGCAAACAACAGATTTATAGAAACACAATATAAAATAGATACAAGTGCTGTTGTTTCATTGTTTTAATGTATAAGAACTTTAATTTCTGTTTATTCTGCTCAATCTCGTTCCGAAGCAGCAATCACAGCAAATTCCCCAGACCAGAATGATTTCACGTTTTACTTGCCAGACACAAACTAATGTAATGAGCTGTTAAGAATGTGAGACAAGCTTTATTAGAAAGTGCATTTTATAGACTGAATCTGACCTGAAGCTCTAATTTGAGAAAGTTTAATTTCAACTCAGACCAAAAAGGTCAGTGTCAGCATCATCACAGTCTGTTTACAGCTTATCCCACAGAGTGCATTATTTTTACCCATTTACTGATGACCAAAGCTACAAGATTTTGATGCATATAGAATAAATATTAACAGATCATCCAGCAGCATTCCCACCCTCCCTGTCATCCCTCTATCGTACCTTTAGAAAAGACCACAGTCTTTCAGGTTGTTCTTAATAATGACATCAGTGACGGCGTCAAAGACAAACTGCACGTTCTTGGTGTCAGTGGCACAGGTGAAGTGGGTGTAGATCTCCTTGGTGTCCTTCTTCTTGTTCAGGTCCTCGAACCTGGTCTGAATGTAACTGGCGGCTTCGTCAAACTTGTTGGCTCCTGGAGGAAACAGTGGGAAGAGATGATGTCGCATTGTATTAGGTTGTGCAATTTATTTTATGAGCCGATAGAAAGCAGGCCGTCTGTGGTTTTACTTCAGCGTGGGCCCCGGGTACCGCTCTCTGTACCTGTGTACTCTGGGAAGCAGATGGCGAGAGGGCTGCTAGTGATCTTCTCCTCGAAGAGATCCTTCTTGTTGAGGAAGAGGATGATGGAGGTCTCAGTGAACCACTTGTTGTTGCAGATGGAGTCAAACAGCTTCATGCTCTCGTGCATACGATTCTGAAGAGAAGAAACATTGGTTGTGGCTCATGACCATGCATTCGAGCTGCCACCAGGGGACAATGTTGTTTCATGTTTTAAATGTGAGGAATAACCAGCGCAGGGAGAGTTCCTCAGGGCTTTGTTTGTGTGTCTCTCCTGAGCACTTGTGTTAAATTCATAAACTTTTCAAGAAATTGCGGTCAAATGGTTCATGTCACTCGAAAAATTATCCATTAGCACTTTCATTACATAATTGCTCTCAGCTGTGAATCTACCGTTAAGCTCAGATGACTCAAATTCCCCACCTGGAGCTCACTATTATGAAGCCATAATAAGGAGCCATAAAGCTGTCCACCCTAACTACCTCATACTGAGAAATTATTCAGCTTGTAAAATTCCCTGAATCACATGAAGAAACATAAGGCACGTAAGATGATGGTTATTTTTTACCATCTCCTCATCCTCAGCCAGCACCAGGTCATAAGCACTCAGAGCAACGCAAAAGATGATGGCTGTGACTCCTTCAAAACAGTGGATCCATTTCTTTCTCTCTGAGCGCTGGCCTCCCACATCAAACATTCTGCAGGGGAGAGACAAGCAGAGGAGACATAATGTGAGTGTGTGTGTGTGTGTGTGTGTGTGTGTGCATGCAGGCAGGAGAAGGAGGTCGACAGTGAAAGACAGTAAGGTGAAACTGATGGAGAGCAGGGCATTAAAGGGGATGTCTCCGGAAATGACAGCTGAAGGAGGAGAAAGTCAGGGTGACATTATGGTCGTACATTAAGTTTTCATGAGGCTTTTCTGAGAATAAAGGTGCCGGAGAAGTGTCTACTAGATATCGGATAAAGATTGCAGGCTTTAAGAGGCAGGTCTCTGTATTCAGAGCAAAGCACTGTCTAATGGTGAAGCCGAGAGCTGAGATGGAAGCTGTTAGACGTGTGAGCAGAACCCGACACGGCTGAAGTGATAATATAGTCTAACACGTCCAGAGCAGCTGCTGTCCTTTGACGATACAGACAACAAATAGGTTTCGGTGAAGTCACAATCTGTTCAGGTCAGCGGGTGCAATGAAGCACCATCTTGATGAATCTAAATGACACCACCTGCATATGTAAGTGTTCCCTGCCCATACTTATTATGACAAACAGGACCGACTTATAAAAATGTGACTTTATACTTATTGATTTCCCCCATGAATTATTCAGGCCAAATACTGAGGCTGTGAGAGAGTGTAAATATCAGAGTTTATCAGGAAAACAGGTCACACCAGAGCCATGTGGCTGTAAGTGCTTTTATTTCATTAGCCAGGTCTGTTTAGATATTTCACAAAGAGTCGGGTACTTTATAAACAGCTCAAGAAAAGATTAAGATACAATACAACAGAGCATGATGAGGGAAATATTGTACATGAAACAGTTTCATTCCGGAGAAAGAACAACATGGACTTGGAGGAAGTTGCCTCTGTTGTGGCAGAGGAAATGTTTGGTAGTGGTTTATTGTTGTAGTAGTATGCCTTTATTCTAGTATTATGACTTTATTCTTGTACTATTATGACTTTATTCTAGTAATATCATGTTCAGCTATACCCTGTACTCTCTGCTTATGGGTCCTGATATCAAATGTTAAATAAATCCCTAACTTCTATTAAGAGATACATGTATACATCTGTTACTATCCCACGCATGAGTGCTCAGGCTGGGTCAGGGCATGTTTTATGCAAGATCCACAGAGCTGTGCCATGGAGGACACACTCAGATGTTAGCAGTACATGAAGTTCTTTCTCTTCTTGAGTGAGAGCTCGATGGGCACGTCATCTTTGTTTATTCAGCTCTCGGTGCAATCATAATAATTAGCCTTTTAATTGCTGGTGTAAATTTGCTTCTGAGTTGCTGAGTTGCTCATTTCATGGCGGGACAGTCAGTCGCTGCTTTATTTAATCCTCAGTCCAAAATGAAGCTTTTAAGCAATTTCTGAGTAATGATGTAAACTGGGTATATTGCCAGTGTCTACTATGCTTTTGTTTTAGTGCAGCGGAGTCTGGTACTGGAATGACACTGTTTCCACCTACAGGACCTAATTCAATGAAAACACTTATGTTAACAGACATTTTCACCCTGTTACTTTAATATCTAATGTGGATTTTGCCTCACTGCTCTTCTAAAGCAGCATTTTACTGAGTGTTATGTATCATTAACATTTAAAGCGACGATCAGAGGTGAGTGAACTCTTAGGAGTCATGTAACCACTCAGGTTAAATAATGTGAAACACGCTCTGACTGTGGGTCAGAGGCTCAATAAGAGTTCCCTGCACTCACATCGGTTGCATGTGGCTAAAGCGCTAGTTTTGCTAAAAGAGAGACAGGGTGAGATTATTGTTTTTCATTCATTTTTTTGTTTCAAAAATACCTGAAGTCCTTTGACACTGATATGACGTTGGTGCTTTTTGACCTTACTTGAAGTGCAGTTCCTTGAAAGTGAAGTGCGTCTCCACAATGCCAGTGGTCTTGACCCGAGTTCTCAGCACATCCTGCTGGGAGGGGATATAATCTGATTTAGCTATCCTCTCCAGGTCATTCAGGTAACTAAGAGTAGAGAGAGGGAGAGGGAGGGAGAGAGAGAGAGAGAGAGAGAGAGAGAGAGAGAGAAACACACAGGTCACTAATGCACTTGCGGTGCATGAACATTGAAATCAATCTGCATTATACTGAACTGCATTGAACTGTAGTAAACTCTTTAGTAAACTCTGTGGAGTGAGTCATATCGTGCTGCATTAAATGACTTCGCTTGCGGCATTTCATTTGACTGTTTAAGTGCCTTTTAAAGAACTGCGCAGTGGTTATCAGCCTCCACAGCTCCAAACTGTGGTTGAGAGAAATATAGGTTCAATCAAAATGACCATGGACATTGTGACACCAGTCACCTGGTTCCAGAGCTGCATCTTTTAGAACTGATTTATTTACCCATTTAGAGGTAGTTCTATGAACACAGCATTAACCTACCATCACCAAGTCCAGCTTTCACTATCTTTTACCCCTTTTTTTGTCTCCACCAACTACTGAGGTCAATATCAAACTCTTCAGCTGCTAAATGCTCCACTATAGTGAAATGTGAGACCTCTGAGGAATTATCACCCCATGACCCAGTAGTACTATATTCTGTCCTTAGTGGGATTTCTATGGCAAAATGCATATTCTTTACCAATTTGCTTTACTTTTGTAAAGTGGTGCATGGTATTAGTGAAACACGTGTTGTTCCTTCTATGATCTATTTAAATACAATATTCAAATGGTATATGAGATCCATTTACACAGCGGATTTATCTTTTTTCTTCAGAAGAGCAGATTATATGTTATAGAAAATTGTAAGCATTATATAAGGTTATACAGAACAAAGATGCAAGATACAATTTACACAAAAAATATGTTTATGTTTATGCCCCTTCCATCCTCTTTATGTTTTCTCTGTTTGCTCTGACAGACTGTTGGTCAGTAGGGGGGTGTGGAAGCATTTTCACCATGCTTGACACAGCTTGCCCCACTTACACAACATTGCATCATCATCCAAGCCCAGCTGGGAGCTTTAGTGGTCCAGCCAACCTACGCCTCACAGAGAGACATACATCCAGCATTTCAGTGGAAGTGGCATTCGTGTGAGTCACATCCACATATTAATAATAAATAATTTGCTGGAAAAAATTTAAGACTTGATGTGAAGAGATAGAATTATTTAATTATTGAGTCCAAGTGAATGTTGGTGCCAGCTGTAACAAAAGCAATCTTGAGAGAGAGTCCAAAAAATGTGTTTCGTGAAATCACAGCTGCCTTGACCTTTCACCTACAAAACGCAATCAGTTCTTCCCAAAGTCGAAGTGAAGCTTTGCACCAAATTTGGAGGAATTCTCTTGAGATGTCTTGTGCAAGAGGAAGGTGGATGGACGGATGTCTCACAGTGAGCCAATCATACAAAGTAAACATTTCAGACTTTGCAAATCAGTGCCATAAAAACAATCAGCTTATTCCAAACAAGTGTGATCACTTGCTGCTGTTGCGATCACATTAAGTTTAATTGGGGTAAAGTTGACTTGCGTCTCATTTCATCATCCATCAACACCATTGCGTTCTCTGCTTATCAGCTTACAGTGTCAAATAATCAAACCCAGACAGGGAGAAGTAATCGTTAAATTAAAGTTATTGGACACCCCAGTCTCCACAGCCCCCTGGAGAAGACAGGTTTCTCACTGCAGCTCCTATGAGAGAGGCAGGGCTCCACCACTAAATCCATCACAACACCCCTAATGGCACTATTATCCATCTATATGATTGTGAGAGCTAGGCATATGCAGACTGTATATGCAGAAAGGCCTCAACCAAAAGCATCCACATCAGTTGATGCAATATTATTTATTAAATATGAGTTACAAGCAGGAACGAAGGATGAGATTGATGCACATTCATCGTGTGGATTTGTGGTTTCCCCACTAGGCCACATTTACATTTATAGTGGGTTAACACAGAGTGGCAGCCTAAATATTGCACAAGTGAAAAAATGTTGAAAAGCATAAATTTCACCAGGCTTGAATAGAATATAATAGAAACTTTATATTCTCATTGTGAGAGAATGCAGTACAACAGAATTAGGCTACATCCATACCACTACGTTTTATTTTGTACACAATCAATAAATACAAGACTAATAAATACTTGAAACAGAAAAGTGAGTGTGAGTTATTGCACAGAATGAATATTGCACTTAAAAATTATGTAAATATATATCTCGGTAAATGATAATTGTGAACTGGTAGAGTGGCCCAGAGAAAGAACAAAACCACAGAGTCACACTCACTATGCTGCAGAGTCGTTGAGTTGGTATTCTCGCGACCTTGCAAAGCAGCTCTGTATACCGTTGTCGCCCCACAGTCGCCTGATCACATTGGCCAGGTCGCCGGGAAGAAGGCCCTGCTCCTCAGCTGCCGCAGACAGAGCAAAGAGCTGCTGGGCATCATCCTGCAGGGGGCGATAAGGGCACAGGTTGTTGCAAGAACAGAAATACTGCCAAATACACAGGTTAACTGTAAAAAAACTCAAATGATAAAACAGAATAGAATAAGTCATTAGAGCAACCATTAATTAACTTCTGCATCATCTGTTAAACAGAGTGAAAAATTACACAGAAAATACAGTTTTCGTAATGGGATCCGACGGCAGGGAAGAATCTTCTCGGCTTTTAGTAAAAAAAAACATTTGGACATGTTTACTGTGTCTCTGAACTACTTCCGAGAAGCAGCAATAGATCATGATGATTGTGATGATGATATCACTGAAACCTAAGAAACACTGATGCAAGCGTATACAAGATAGTTGAGATATGTTGTTGTGACTGGCGATAACAGCCGTGTTGTGATAACAGACTGTGGTTGGATTTCTTGATGTTTGACACTCTGCTTGTTTCTCTCTATTTTCCATTTTCCTGTTTGCATGAAGTCAATTCTCGTCTCTGAGTTTATGCACAAAAGTAATAATTAGTCACTGGTTTTCTTTGTGCTTTCACATCTTTTTATACTGGAAACACATTTTACTGTGTGTGTTTATCACATTTGAGTAGAAATGCATTTTTGCAGTTCTGCATCGCTGTTGTTTTTATTGTTGTTTAATAATGTGTTATATTTGAGCAGGTTTTGCTTGCATGGATTGTGACTTGTGAGCTTAAACCCCAGAATTGTTTAACTGTTGGATTATATAACAATGAATCTTGCATGGGAATGTGATGTATTTGCTGGAACTCATGTTGCTCCATTGTCCAAACTAAACAGAAATTAGCCTTTATAATGTGTAAATGTGCATATTTTATGTACAGTACATGCATGTGTGCACACATGCACAATCTGTGTGTGTATGTGTGTGTGTGT